CTCCCGACACATCTCCTTTGGAGACACTCCATCTTCTATTGGCAGCGAGTTGCAGAAAAAGTTGGCGAGTCTGCCTGGACATTACTGGAGCTGTGGTCGCTCTATGAGCGTATCCGGGGTCTTGGAAGCCTAATAGCACTGCACGTGCCTTGGCCCTGGACGTCCCGTCGTCGCGGACCGTCCAAGTAAGAATCCACCTCATGTTGATGGCTTGTTCCCGTGACGGCTTAAGTCCTGCGGGCAGCGATTCAAAGGCTTCCGATGCTATAAAATTTTTTCACCTCGAGGGATTTCGCTTCTTGGAACTGAGCTTTCTCCTCAGCACTCAAGTGTTTTTCCGACACTTCGACGGCGCGACGCTTCAAGGCTCCCACGAAGTAACCTGTCAGGTTCTTTGTGGCTTCCTGCCACCCTCTGTTTGACTCTGGCATCTCGATCTCGACCTCCACGGCGGCGCTGTCTTGCGTCCAGAAGCTCGTCTCCTCAGCTGCCCAGGCTGTCTTTGGAAGCTCCTCCCACCACTTGGTGCCGGAAGCTTCAGCACTGCCGCTCAAGGCTGGCCGGCTGGATTGTCTCCGGGGCCGACTTGGCATCGAAGGCTGTCCAGGTGTCTCGTCATCCATGTCCTCGGCGACTTCTGGACCTGGACGCTTGCGTGTCATCCGATGTCTCACGGGCGGCTCCTGCTGCTCGACGTCTTGGGCTCGTCGCCACTCCTCGTCGGAAGGTCGCTCCTCCGAAATGTCCTGGTATTTGTTGCCGCCAATTTCCTCGGCGACTCGTGTGAACGTCCAAGGAGTAGCTTGGCGTCCCTCGGACAGGGCCTCCACGAGTTCCTCCTTTGGGGAGGCTCTTCGCAACTGCTCTGGCGAGCATTTGAGAAGGCTCCGGCCTCTCACACACCAGATGGCACTACCTGGCCGGAGGTTACCATCCTCATCTCGTCGTGACTCTGTTGCCAGTACGCGCACCGGTCCTAGGAAGGACCCGTACTTGTTCCCGGGCTGCCGTCGGCCCTGGGAGCTGTTCTGCACTCTCCAAAAGAAAACAAGCTCTCCTGGTTCGAAGTCATACGATGGCCTGCTCCTGGAATTCTGGGCTCTCACGATCCGCCGCTGTGTGTTCCAGTCAACTAAGGCCTTTTCCGCTTCCGAGCGACGGGCTTGGGCTCGCTGGAATTCCCCGGCTGCATTCTCTATCAAGAGATCTGTCGGGATCTCATTGCCTACCAATCGACCCACAGCATCGGGACTCTGGCCTAAAACATGTTGAGCAGGAGAGAAGCCACGGATCAGATCCCTCTGGTTACAGACAGAAATTCCTAGTGCGAGGGCCTCTTCAGCAGTCACATCGGAGTCTCGATCACATACTTTAGTCATGACTTCTTTGATACATCCCACGGCTTGTTCGCACACGCCTATCTGGTGGTGAGCCTCTCCCGGAATCAGGTCCAAATGGATTCCATGTTTACCGCAGAAGTGTTCCACCGCATGACTACGGAAAGGACCCGCGGGGTCCAACCGCAAAACCCTGGGAACGCCGAAATACTGAATCCACCCTTCTTGAAGGAAACCCAGACACGAGGCCGCGTTTGGGGTCTGTTTGGACCCCTTGGAGAGCACCTTAGCCGCCCTGAACCTAGAACCCTCATCGATCACCATCAGAATCCGCACTGATTGTGCTGAGCTTCGGGGGGGCCGGTTTCCTACCTTCTGCTTTTCCATGCACACCGAACATTTGAACTCCCGAGCCAGCTGAAGAACCCTGTCCGAAACCCCTCTCCTACGCAACGCTTCCACAAGGTGTCTGTTACTCCCATGACCCGTAGCGGCGTGGAGGAGATACAGCTTCCTACGGATTCTTTCATCTTCCTGTTGCGGGCCTTGGGGCTGAGACGAACTGCTGGGGTTGCTCTGAACCACTTGGGCCTGTTCACCAGAGGGCTGGGGCTTAAGAGGGAAACCTAACTCTCTCAACTCTCTCCGTTCCTCCGCACTCAGTTGCTCCTCTCTTCTACTGGTGTACGCAGTGATAGTAATGCGGTCGCCCTGCCATGGACATGTCCCATGCCAGGCCTTGGGAGAGAAGGACTCCACCGTGTGCCGAATTGGCACCACACGCCCCTGCACCCAGGAGCCATCCTCGCGCTCCTGTCGCAGGGCCGACGGACCCTCATAGTCTTTAGGAGTTTCTACCCATAATTCACCTTGGGTGTAGTTTCCAAACCCACATATCCAGTTCTTCTGGTTGGGGTTGTTTTGGTGATCTCTATGGATTGGAGTCCGTCCATTCCGGCTGACGACAAAGGCATTCCACGTAGCATCTTGAGGCACATGTTGCTTGAGGAACTTATTCAGGAGTTTACTCGTCTCAGGGAGTTCTCGGGACCTGTTGGTGACGCCTTGCAGGGACCCATAAGAATACATACCGATAATGATGCTTTGGGCTCCAGAACCCTGAAAGAGCCTTCGCCTACTTGGGGGAAGCCTCTCGAACTTCTGAAGAAATCCCTCAAGATCCTGAAATGTCACACAAGTCTTGCTGAAGAGCTTCTGAGCCTCAAGTTCACACTCATTTACACAGGCTTGGGACCAGTGGCATTCCGCGGGCGCTTCCTCGGGGCTTGGCGTGTTACTGTAAGCTTCCTGAACACACACACCACACTGAAGGTTAAATTTGGGGTTCTTCTGGGTTTCACAGGTACAGCCAGCATCTTGCCCAAAGAGGACTGGTAGTCGGGACTGGCCCCGGCATTCCTCCATCAGGCCATGGTGCGAAAGTTCCTGGCACAAAACCCGGGCAACCCTCTCAACAAACTCCTTAGTGTAATTCGACCCTGGAATACTTATCCCTTTCTCAAGTCGACCGTGCTTAGTTCCGAAAGAGCACCTGCAGGGAAGGTCCAGGACCTGAGCCATCCGGTCATGACTAGATAGGATCTGCCATCCATGCTGCACTACCCTGCCCTGGCGGTCTCTCAAGTTCATTCTACACCCTTTGGTCACGGCCGTGTACAAGGAAAAATGCTGCTTCAGCTTCTGAATCACTGGCAACCTCCAAGCTTGCGAACCGTCACTCATGCACAGCGTAGCATGTATGCCTAGTCGCATGCACTCATGGAAGACACAACTCATCCCAGTGAGAGCCCGGATGTCCTGTTGTCGCTTCTCGCGCAGCGCCTGGTTTAGCTCCGGGTTTTTCTGTTGTGTGTTCTGGTATTGAGAGAAAGAGGAGGTAGAAGGAGATAACCACACACTCTGCGGATTTTCCAAATGGAGCCGGTCGATGATCAATCGGACTCCCGCGTCTGTGCGAAGATCTCCGGCATTCCACAGAGCACAGCGACATGCTGCACTCTCGCTACCGGCTATCTGTTGTACAGCAGAGGACAACCTACTGTCGGAGGAACACGACACTTCCATCAACACCGGCCTACTGTGCCTACAAAGATCAGAAAACAATTCCGGAATTATGGCCCAAGACTTCTGCTCCAAAGTCCTAGCTTCGCCCAAGGTCATGGCTTGTTCCTGATCCTGATCCCGGTCCTCCGCTGTTCGGCCCAACTGCGCACTCAGCTGGGCACTGGCACTACGGTTCACGACTGCTTCTTGCGAGGCTTCTCGTCCTTCAAGTCGCGAACCTGCTCCTGGAGGTTGACCGCGGTCTCCATCAACTGCTTCATCACCTTCTGCTGCTCGGTCATCATCTGCATCAAGGCTGGATCCTGGCTGCCCGAGGCCGTAGAGGATGGAGTCGGTGGCGCGATCGCTGCCGGTTCGGGTATTGGCTCGTCCAGATGGTAGCCCTTCCTGCTCTTGGGAGCCTCCTGGGGTGCCATCTGAACATCGGTGGCTTGATTCAGCCAGGCCGCTAGGCGCATCAGCCTGGGATCCTGATCGTCGGCCTCGATTGCCGTCTTCTTCACCCAGTCCGCGTACGTTGGATAGCAGTTGTGATCTTGCTGTGGCGGCCAAACCCCACAGCATCCTGGCTGGTGGCAGCCACTTGACTGTAAATGGCCTGGATGCCGCGCGTGGTCAATTGATCGATCGTCTCGTTGGTCCCGGCCGTCACTCCCAGCTTCTCCTGGAGGTACACGACCAAGTCTGCCTTCTTCTTGCGGGCCTTGTTGAGCTCGGTGATCTGGGTCTTGAGGGACCCCTTGGCCTGCAACTTGAGTGTTGCTTTGTCCTCGCCGCGCATCTTCATGAGCTCGTCCAACCGACAAAACAACTCTGGCTTGTTCCAGCGAGTTGGCGGATCCTCGCCATACTCCTGGATGCGCTTGGTCAATTCGGCCTTTGACATCTTGGCCAACGACATGTTGCTCAAGGCCTTGTGGACGATGGGAGGCTGCGAGCGAGGCGTGCTTGTAGCTGGAGAAAGGCTGCTGGCGCTGTAACTCTGAGGCCTCCCTACTTGAAAGATTGTCCGGAGATGTAAATTCAATGACCCCAGTAGCATCCCTAGATTCACTAGCCCCTTTCCCCTGGGTTGTATCCTGGGATCTACTATCTACAATCCCATTCCCTGTCCTACTTCTGACCTCTTCATTTCCATCAGGGCCTGGAACGAAGAGGAGCTGTCCCTAGGACTCATTCGAGTCCTTCACAAAAGCCTTCAAGCTTGGCACATCCTGTACGGTGGCTTTTGCACCGTGGAGCAAATCCTGAGCCAATGGAATCAGCTGATGTCCTGTGGCGGAACGCTGGAGCTGGATGATGCGGCTGGCGTCCAGGCTCCGAAACACTGCAAGGTCTTCGGCGAAGTCTATGACGGCGCCCAGCGTCCTGAGGGTCGCCACTGACAACAGTATCGGTCCATGGCCCTGGGAGATGGTGTGAATGTTGAGCGTTCCATCCTTGCCACCTGCTTGGATGGCCACTTGGGCTGTGGACAAACACTGATTGGCACTGCTATTCCCAAACGAAAAGACCGGTCGGTTGTTTCGGTCTACATGGCGTACGCCGTCGTGACCCTTGCTCGCCTGATTCACCCGCATGAGTGACCACCGCTTGCACTGACGCCACCGTCTTGGTGGCTCCTCCATCTACAACAGCCATTCCCCGGAGGACGGCGTCTTCTGTCGTAGGCGCTGTAGTCATCATAGCTTCCTCGGCTGTGTCTGTTCCCTCGGCATAACAGACAAAAGGAGCATGCTCGTCCGGTTTGCCCTGTCCAGTCGGTGGATCTGGGCAATCGGCCACTCTGTGGCCGGTCCGGCCACACCTTAGGCACGTCATGCGAGAGTCGTCCTTGGCTTTCCCGGAACTCTTGCCCTTTCCTTTTGGCCCGGTCTTGGTGTAATACTGGCGGGACTCTTCACGAACTTCTGCTTCTCCCGGGCCTCTCGTAGAGTCCTCCTCGCACCCTGAAGGATGACCAAGGCCTCTTGCTCTTCGTGAGCTGCTTCTTGCATGGCCCAGAGACCTTCCTCATTCATGCCCTCGGCCACCAGGATCTCCTCGTCGTAGCCGAAGCTGGCATCGGCCTCATCCTCGTCATCATCCTGGAGCTCGCCCCAGTAGCCACTGTTCTTGGTGGCGTGATCTCGCCGCTTCAAATCCTGCTCAGACCATTGGTTCCGCAATTCCTGAGCGATTCGCTGAAGCGAGTATAGTCGCCCCGCACAGCCGTTGTGATCAGATTCCGCTGTTCCGCGTCCAATCCAGCATCTTGCAGTAGCAACCATCCCTGTATGTAGTCTGGCAAGAGCTCCTCGATCTGCTCTGACGCGCTTGGTTTCGCGGCAAAATGCCACGATGGAGAGCCCCACCAGCTAGTGGAGTAGCCTGACCAGCCCCAGCCAGTCTGCCATCCTTGGAGTTGCTCATCCTGGGAGCGCCCCCAGGTCCACTCATCTTGCTGCTCGCCTGTCGCCTCTGCTGAGGTGTTGTCATCTTGCTCGCTCACGGGAGCTGCTGCCTGGGACGAGGCTTCGGAGTCCCAGCTGTTCCTTCTCGAGGCATTCCAGTATGGAGTCCCATAGTCGCGGGAGGAGGTCGGATGTTGTCGACGATCTTGATGTAGAGGTCGTACTCGATGATACGCCTGCTTGGCCCTCAAGTAAACTTCGCACTTCCGTGTCACATAGTCGCCAATGCTTTCGCCAGCCCGTCGGCGACTCTGTCGGAAGTACTTCTGAAGATAATCTGAAAGCTCGCTAAGCTGCGGACGGCCGAGACATGCCCTCAGGTGATCCAAGAGGGTCTGTGTCCCCGCCGGATGCGCCAACCACTCTGGGGACTTCCCCAGAATCAGCCGCTTGGCGGCGCCTTGCAGCTCTGTTGCCAGCCTCGGGCCGTTCATATATCTCTTGTGCCACGGCGTGGTGGCCTCCCATAACTGACACATCTCGTAGTACTCCTGGAATCCCACAGGATTCCCATCCCACTGTGGCACCCCATCTTTGGACTTGCCCACTTCCTGTGTCATTGCACCGCTCGGATTCTCCAACGGCCCTAGCAGTTGGAGCCTTGTTTTTGGGCCCTGGATCTTAGAACCACCGGCGCCCAACCGGGGGCTCCGCTACCATGCAAGCGGTAGCTTGCACGGAAGTGGATTGCTCAAGAAAGAACGAAGCACAGCAGTAAATGGCGAGCCTAGACGGTCCTGCCGAAGGGGACAAAAGGGCTCACTCGCGCTCACATCTTTGTGCCACTCGAAGCTGCGATTGTCAAGCTGTCAGTTTGTACAGAGCTGCCAAGTAGAACTTGCAGGGTTTAGGGTCTCTAAGTCTCTATTGTAGTTCGTTTTTTGGTGTAACCAAAAATATACTAAGGATTTTATAAGGTATCCCCCCCTAAACCCTAAACCCTGAACCCTGAACCCTAAACCCTAAACCCTAAACCCAAAGGAACTACAATGGAGACTATAGGTAGGACCAAAGTCGACTAAGGCACCCGTGGCATGACCACCCAGAGCTTTAAGAAGTTAGGGTTTAGGGTTGAGGGTTTAGGGTTTAGCGTCATAGGGTTTAGGGATTGAGGGTTTAGGGTCATAGGGTTTAGGGATTGAGGGTTTAGGGTTTAGGGTTTAGGGTCATAGGGTTTTAGGGATTGAGGGTTTAGGGTTTAGGGTTTAGGGTCATAGGGTTTTAGGGTTTGGGGTTTAGGGTTTAGGGTTTAGGGTTTAGGGCTTTAAGAGTTAAGGGTTACGGGTTGAGGGTTCAGAGCTCGGGGTTTCCAAGAGGTTTGCGTTAAGGTTTTTAGGTCCAGAGCTCAGGGCTTTAAGAGCTTGGGGTTCAGAGTTCCGGGCTTCAAGAGCTTAAGGTTTAGAGTTCAGGACTTTTAAAGTTGTTTCTATAAGGTGCTTCAGTTCAGGCTTGATGTGAGGGTGTCTTTCGCAGCTAGGGGTCCCTGCGCCGGCTTTGGGGGTTCTAAGAGCGGCGTCAGGGTTTAGGGTGGCGTGTTCGTTGAAGAACCCTAGTAGTTTGAGAATCGATTTAGGGGGGTACATGATACTACAAATATAAACACATGCAGAAAACTGATAGAAACAAGCAAATAAATAGTTACATTGACATACATACATACATACATACATACATACATACATACATACATACATACGTGTATGAATATATATATATATATATATATATACACACATGTACATATCTATAGGCAAATAACGAGGAACCCGGAGGCATCATATTGGAAATGCTGAAGGGCCCCCTTGTAGCTTGTTCGGTGAATTGTTCTGCAGTCCCAAGGGACGGATAAAGGGCTGGGAAAAACAGGTTCCACGGTTTGGGCTTTAGTGTGTTTAGAGTTTAGGGGGTTCAGAAGTTTTGGGTTTAGGGGGCTTAGAGGGTTTAGGGTTCGGGGCTTAGGGTTTAGGATCTCGGTTGAGAGCTGAGGATTTGCCTGCGGAGCCGAGCACATGCTCTTCAAAGGATGGAACATCACATGATTCGGGGGGCGGGAGGGCATAGCCTACTATTCTGTAGAGTTTGGACTGCTGGTAGGGCATACGGTTTTCAGCCGAGCAGCCGAAATAGCTGTCGAATCCTCGCCAGCACATGAGCAGCATTCTTGCAAACAAATGTGTTCATCGTGGCCGGTAGGACTGCGAATACCAACCCTGGGCCTACCCAAAGACTCCAGCGTCCGGTAATCAAGGGTCCCTAAGAGGCATGCGATATTTTCAGGAACGGATTTGGCAGGCTTTATGCACACTCTCGCACACATGCCCTTTCACAGAAAGGATCTCTGGTGACAAGCAACCCCTTGCCCTCAAAGCAAAGCAGTGAAGCTCCACAAACTTGCACTCGAACCTGAATCACAAGCCCCTACAATTGAATCTTGCTGCTGCTTCCTGTACTTCCTTACAGGATCAGGAGACTTGGCTGTAAGTAAGGCAACAAAAGCAAATCACCCAATTCAAAGTCTTTACGACCCTACTTCTAGGTACCATTCAAGAAGAGCTTGAAGGCTATACATGGTGAGGGTATGGTTTAGGGTTTAGGGTTTAGGGTTAAGGGTTAAGGGTTTAGGGTTTAGGGGTTTAGGTTTTACGGTTCTTGGGCTTTGGGCCAGGATCCCTGCAGCAGCTCCTAACTGCATAGCCCAGAGAAGCAGCAATTAGGGTTTAGGGTTTAGGGGAGGCATGCTGAAGCAGTGCAATAGAAGCATTTAAGAAGGCCAGCGAAAACTTCCTACATCCGAAAGACTGAACCCAAACCCGCGCAAAACCTTGATGGAACCCTTGTAGAATACCTTAAGTTCAGGGAACCCTAAACAAACTCTAACACACCCTGGATCCTAAACGCCCTAAACCCTAACCCTA